ACCTTCCTTCCTTCAGTCATTGTCTATTATTTAGCCAAGTTAAATTTCATCACCCTACTTCATAAAATGGAAAATTTCTAACCATTCTGAGGTGAGCTCAGATATTTAATCTTAACGCACAAAGAATAAGTATTTTGCAGCACACATATATTAATGGTGGAAACTGATAGCTTCTGCAATTTAAAGCTAAGGATCCAAAAGTTACTTTAGTTTTATAAGCATAAATATGCATGTTTTGAAAGTAAAACATTTCATCTTAATAAGCAAGTTTTAAACTCTTACAGTTACTTGTAATCCAGATGTAGCTGTAGATTGAAAAAACCCCATTGTTTTAGCTCTGTGTTGGTATCATTAAAACAGAGTGCTCAACTAAGATACTGTTTATGAATGTATGATGCAGTTATGAATGAATGTCTGCCCAAATGAATGATCTGTGAAAGAGAATCATTCAACTCTGCTTATTGCTGAGGGGTACACCTTCCAAATACAGTTGGGTTGGGGAGGGGGGGAGGGGAAAAAAGGGGCATAAATTCTTTTGCTATTTTAAGTGGAGCAAAATTATCATAGTCACAATATTTCTGTGACCCACTGTCAGGTATGTGTACAGTCAAGTACTGGAGTAGGGTCAGCAAAATAAGTATCAACAGTATGAACAGAATAAAACTGCAAATATTAAGGGAGAGTTTTTGCAAGGCCTTCATGTTGCATATGTTCATACTTGAGGCAGGCTTTCTAAATATGTAATTAAATATTCAGCACATGCTCTTTTTGCTCTCTGAATTTTTTGGGGGATGTTAAAAATTTCACCTTACCTCTCAAACTTTGGTCTGTGTCAATATTTTGATAAGGTGAAGTCAAGTCTAACAGTTTGGCATATGATAAGAATTACATTTCTTCTTCATCTTATGAGAAGAATATTCGTTTAGCATTCGTCTCGTGATTGTTAAAATCAGATCTTTTTTTTGTGCATTGTTTTGTGACTTCATCACTTTTCTTCCTTTTTCTCATCAAGTCATTTTGCCAAGGGGGCTCAATTCCTGAGCTCTTGCTCTCGCTGCTTTCTTCTTGGAAAAATGCTCTCAGTCGTCGACCTGCGGTCACCTATGTAAACTCTGACCAAGTTTCAGCTATCACTGTATGTGTTCTTGTTGCATGCTTCTTGTCACTGTAAGGCTATTTGCCACTAATCTTGAAAGTAAACTTGAAGTTTTGTCACTTCATATAACACCTTGTGTATCCTGCTTTCTGAAAGTCATCCAAGGTGCAAATTAACACAAGTGTATTGCAATAATCCTGTAATCGTTCTAATAGGACAAAGTAGAAAGAGCATCTGGTTCATCACTGCCAGAATTATAATCCCAAATTTGCCTACTGTTTGACCCACTTGTGTCTTGACTAATAAACAGCATGATATGGTCATTTTTTAAACAGCTATTGCTAATTCTTCTTAACACAACTAATTTAGGATGTTTGTAAGGTCCCTGTGATGCCTTTGATATAATGACGTACATGTGGGTTAATTCTAGCTAGAATGGGAATACCAAAAATATAAATGTTTATGCATTAAAAGGTGAAAGGAAAAGAGCTCAAGGATGTTCTGGCTATATGCCACATACAGAAAGCAGATGTAAATTTTTAGGACTACTTATGTAAAATTTAAGCATCTGTAGTTAGTTATGATTTGAAGTTTATATGCCAGGCATGGAAGTGCTGTGTATCAGAAACTGGTAAAATGTTGGTAGCTAGTATGGTAGCTTATTGCTCAAGGTGGATGAGGAGGTGTTCAGATTATGATACTTGTGTTACAAGAAACCAACAGGCTTGACTGGTTGTGTAATTGGTTTTTAATATCACTTTCTCAGCAGTGTTATCAGAATCAAACCAAAGCTTTCAATGATCTGATGATACTTAAGACTATATTGGTATCTTGGCTTCTGCTTCCTGAAGAGTGGAGAGCAAGCTGTACGTTTAGAGTTTAGTTAGGATTCCCGAGACTTCTAGAATGACCATTTTGATGACCAGTACCTTATTTCTTAAATTTCCAATAGTGGAGAGTAACTGTAGGCTTTTTCAATTAACTTTGTGGTAAAAACGATGCAACTGCCTTGCCTTTGTCTGTCAAATTCATCGCTCTGTTTGTGGAAACCTGGAACAGATAATCTATACTGTTTGGTATCCTTAAAAATGCTACTTTCTATAAGGAAATCTGTGGATTTTTTTAATATGTTTAAGTTTTCAACTGCTGAATGAAGGTGTTTCAACTTTTGGTGTGAATGAGTTGTAATAACTCTTGTTGAATTTTAACGATGGGGCTTCATAAAACACAGTAAATAGTAACTGCTTAGAAGGATTCATCTCTCAACCTTTGGTAATAGGCTCATGTCCTCAGTGTCAGGTACAGTGGTGGTTAACCAAAAGTGGGTTAAATTCCTCAAACATTAAGGAAGTAAATACTCTTTGAGGTTCATCTGGGCAAACTCTTTTTTTTTTTTTTGCTGTGTTACCCCACTGTGTTTATGGGCAAGGATGTTACATATACGTTACTACAATTCATTGGTACTGCACAACTGTGTTTACAGGAGGTCAGATGATTATCATGAAAGCTATTTGGAATGGAAATACTCTTATCAGAGTCTAGTTTCAAAAAACTTTCTCATTTTGCTATGACAATAAATAATACCTTTATAGTTAAGGTTTTTTTTTTTTTGTTAAAGCTGTAAGTTCTGAAGCTCCCTTACCAGCCACCAAGGAGCATCTGTGTCCTCAGCTCTATTTCTACAGTCCATCCACGGGTGAGGAGGACTAGAAATTAAAATGTTCTACCCAGCTCTAATTAGAAACAAAATTTCAGTGATGGCAGGTGTCATTTGTACGCCCAAAGTCTCCCCATAAATAACATCCAGTTCTGTATCTGAAGAAAGCTGGAATATATCACAGTACAGACTGTGTGGCTTGTCCTGTGGAAGCTTCCAAGGACTTGGAGAAAACTCCTGAAAAGATTGAAAAAGCCTTCTAATTATTGATGTCAGCACACATCTTCAAGGCAATTGTTAAGCTACACAGTATTTACAATGTCTAAAGCAAAAAACTCCCACCCAAACCCTCTTCTTTCCAAAAAATAGAAGCTATCTCTGCCATGTAACTAGCATAAGCACATCCCATGACAATGCTTTTTTTTCCCCTAGAAAATAGCTGTCAGAAGGGCCTGTAGGACAGCATCATAACTAGGACAGCAGGCAGTGCTGTGTGCAGACCTCTCCTCTTTCTGTCTCCCACTGCTGCCCTTTCCAAACTCCCCAGACAGCTCAGAAGGGAAATCCCATAAGAATAAGGTGTCTGCTCAGTAAGAGCTGAATTTATCCCGACTAGTGCTGCCTTGATAGTGTGCTCTGTTTTGAGAAAGCTGACTTTGTCTAGGGGGCAGCAGATGCTGAAAGGCTTTCTTCTTACTGTGCCCAACCCTCTGTGCTTGCTTCAGGAGGGTTCCTTTGCCTTTAGCCATCTTTTGTATCTCAGCAGCCCTGTACAGGACTTGCTCCTGGAAGTTTTCAAGGAGGGAAATGGCTCCTGCATTCCCTTTTCAGACACTCAGGAGCAGAAAAGAACCTTGACAGGAAGGCTCATAGGAGAGCCTGCCCACTAAACGTAACATTTCCTTGAATAAAGGAATTAAGTTTGCAATGAGTATATAAAACATTGGTGTATCAGGAGCTTTGCAGAGAGGATCAATTATTTGCATGGGTTTCCCCATCCTCGGGTCTCACACAGCAGTTTGGACGCTGCTTTGTGTGAAGGAGTGGGGGAGGGCTTATTTTTTTTCCTCTCTGAGAAATTTAGCTTCCAGTTTTTGGTTGGTTCTGTGCTTCTTTCTCTGCCATGCTGAAGGGATCAGGCCAAAACCATGGGTGTTTGAGGTAGTACTGTGATCTGTCAAGTGGGGAGTTCAGCAACTTAATGTAATGGAGGACTTTCCTTTTGGTCAAAACAGCAGTGGCTTATGTTGTTGTTGATTCCATGTGTAGCAAGTCATCTCCTGGGCTTCTCAGCATCATCTGGGCAGGGTTTTTAATTAATCCCCCTGATGTTGCAGAGGACTTCGGCAGCAGTCTCCTGCTCTCTCTGGTGCCAAACTCTATAAAGTGATTTTTTTTTCTTTTTTTTTTTCTTTTTTTTTCCCCAGCAGGATTGTTCTAGGCTGCCAGGAAGTGTGTGGCTGGGACATTTCGGTCATACGTGAATAGGCAGCTGCTGCATAGCTGCCCATAACTGCAAGAGCCACAGTGGCCCAGAGATTGTTCCTGTGGGCTCCACTGCTGAGCTGGGCCCTTCTCAAAAGCTCTGCTGTAATTAATAAGAAACGTTCTTGGATGAGGTATCTGAGAATTAGGATAGAAAGTGGAAGGGTTTTTTCTAAAAGGGCTAGTTGGCATTGAGTAAATTAAAAATACTCCCTTATTCTGATACTTTATGGGTAAAATAAAGAAGTTAAGATGCTACTTTCCATTCAACACTTAATTGCTCTTAGGACTCGAGGCAGGGAGATTTTCCAGTGGTAAACAGCCTTTCTAAAACACAGTTAGCATTAATTAACATTCATGCTGGGAATTTAATCAGAAGCAGCAGATTAGCTCTGTTTTCTGCACCGTTTTTTTCCCCCTTGGATATGGCTGTTCTTGTACAGGCTGGAAACCTCATGTTCGCAGCAAGGAGCTTGTCCTGGGGCGTATGTCCCCCAGGGCTGTCACAGAACAGCATTTGCACATCAAAGACTTTTTAAAGAAATAGAAAAGTGCCTTTCTGAAGAATTAGATGCTACAAGCTTTCCCTTGAACTACAGCATTAAATTTGTACTACAACCAAGTGACTTGCAGCTATCCCTGTTTTACTAATTTTATTCAAAATCAGAGGTTTTTGTATGGATCATTGAATTGGGTTCCTTGAGGAATGATATTTCAAAACTGCGTGTTGTAGGTTGAAACCTTAGTAAAAGTACTTTATTTTTTAAAATTGTGATACCTAGTATATATGTAAAATTAGTAGGTAAAAATAGCTCCGTGATGTTTTCCTCAAAATTGTTTGAAGAGCTACATGCAGATTAAATGGCCTTTTTTTTTTAATCACTTGAGTTATTTATTGGCTTTTTAGTAGCTAGACAGTGAAATTGAGTTCAGTTTACTTGCTAGGATACGCTCCAGTATTGCAATAGAAGCACTATAGAAAAATATAAAGTAATGGGAAAAGCATGTAATGTGTATGTGTATATATAGATGTAAAAATTGAAAGTGCTCTTCCAGTGCAGGATGGATGTGATTCCTATCTAGCAAAGATGCTATTTCTGGTTTGATTTTTGCTTTTATATACAGTCATTGATTAACTGACAGAAGCGGGGGGGGTGTGTGTGTGTTCAGTTATTTGTTAGCCAGTTTTGCTTAAAGCTTGGGGCAGCCTTGACTAAAATCAAGCTACAATCAAATGCTGTTTAGACTTCTACCATTTGGGACAGGAAAAAAGGCTTTGCTGAATCTGGTTGGCATTTCAAGTTAAGGAATTTTGAGGGCTGAGCAGCTTTTAAATAGGCATGCTTAAAGGGTGTTTTGTATTTGGGTTTTGTTTTCAAGGTATCATGCCTGTTTATTTGTGGCAAAGTGCTGTATTTGGGTTAAGTTGTAGAGACTGTAAATAATGTATGTTGTATTTAGAGGATTGCAAGACTATATACCTCTTAAGAGTTTTTTTGGTTTTAAGTTTGTCATCATTGTTCCTTTTTTCCAGAAGTTTGGTGTCAATCAGTCCAAGCCAGAATTTACAGTGGATCTCAAAGGGGCATTGATTGACTGGGCCTCAAAGGACAAATCCAGCAAAAAGAATGTTATTGAGGTGATTTATTTTATTTAAATGCAGAATTATATGTACTTTAATTACTTAATGAATTTTCTCTAACCTTAAAATCAAAAACTTTTGAGTTTTCCACATTTATTCCTCCTCAAATGTACATGTATCTTAGTACCTGAAGGAATGTCCATGTTTAATATGTCTGTATGGGATATGCTTTTAAATCTTAAGCAGACTATTATTTACTGGTTTCGCTGCTAAGTGTTCTTGAATGGCTGTATATCAGCAAAAAGTTATTCCAGGGAAAATTTCACTTTTAAATTCTAGTGTGTTTATCAATGCTGATATCTGGTTTTATTTCTTTAAAGCTAAAAACCCGCCAAGGAACTGAGCTCTTAATTCAGTCTGATAATGACGGCTTTATTAATGAATGGTATAAAGTTCTTAACTATACCATCAACAATCAGGTATGTGTTTGAATTGTGAAGGCTCTATTATCAGGTAATGTTAATCAGTAAAATAATCGATGTAGTAACTCCTAGTGCTTCACGTACATCTTCGTTTCCTGATTTTTCTTGTGTGGGATGGAGGTTGAGGATATGGCAGTTCCTGGTGGTGACAAGTGAAATATAATTAACAGTGTCAAAGGGAGAAGGATGGTCCACTGGATTAAGAACCAGCAGATGTCTGTGGGCTGGCCTCCGCTCAGAAATTAGTTTCCTTCTGTGGCCAAAAAAAGTGTCCTGGCTCAGTGACCTGAAAGGTTCTGATAGAGACCGTAAATGGGGGAGGACGGCCAAGGGAGTGCTTCATGACATACATTAGTCAGCATTCGATACTACTGTTCACTTAACTTGAACTTCAGGGCAGCCTTATGAAAAGCCCTGGCAAAAAACTGTTATCTCTTCTGATCAGACAGCGTAATGCCACTGTTTAATCAAGAGAAAAGTGGTCAAGCATTTGCTTTTGATATTGCCAAACAAGATGTACCAACTTTTGAATTTGGAAAAAGTTGGAGGAGATCTTGGAGAAAATATTCCTCTCGTATCAAGTTGACTTCATCTTATTCTTAATTTGTACAGTTACGTGCCTGACTGCTGCCCATAAGTTGCACTTATTACTGTCGATGTCAGTGGCCTTAATTTCACTTGGCTGTGATAGTGTTTTCAGCATATGGGCCTTTTCCACCCAAACACAGCATGCTAATATGAATGATTTAGTTTCTTTCTGACTGCTCATGGTTTAGGATGCTGATCTTCTGTGCTCTCCTTGTGTGTAAATCTCATGACTTAACCAGGCAAGACTCAGCGATGCCCTTCTCCTGTCCACAACCCTGTGTAACACAGCTGAGGTTGCTGCCTCCCTGCTTCAATATAAATGCAGATGGGTAGGCTGAGGTACAGCGCAGATGAGTGTGAGGTATCACAAGGTAGGTTGAGGAAGCGAGTGGTGGAATAGGGAGAGTTTATCAGCACTCTGGAGGAAATAGTGATGCATTACTGCTGGGAACTGGTAGCCAACAGACCTAAGATTACAAGGTTCAGGAAGTTAGAGACTGATAACTTGGAGCACTGAAGCTTTGGCTACAAAACTCCATCAGATCTGAAGCAAACTTTTAATTTTGGAACTTTATGGTATTAGTAGCAGTGAGTATCTTTCCCAGGACAGCTATGGCTAGTACTAGTGTGATGAGATCTTCCTCTAAAGAAGGTACAGCTTAGATGCTGGTCTCTTTGCTCCTTCAGGCTGCTTGTGTGGCAATACGCCGTATGAGAGGAAGAGCTGTCTGCAAAGGATGTCACTGCTCTTTTTTACATACAGAAACGTCCAAGCTATTAGATTAGACTTGTTCCATAACACAGACTAGATTCCAGGTGATATTTTTTTTTTGGTGAAACAGTTAGTGGCTTTAAAATTTCAGTCCTAAAATGCTTTGAGGCCTATTAGAGAGCACTGTTCAAATGGTCACACTGGCAGAGGGATCCTTAGCGGGGACATTAATTGGGCAGTTGAATATATTCATCTTCAAAGTGTAAAAAGGCTATCCAAAGCTTTTGAAAAGTGACAAGGAATGAGGGCATTTTAAACTAACGTTAGCCCTTCAGGTGCAATTTAGTTGAAGTCATAGAATCACAGAATGGTGATTCTATGGAAGGTGATTGGGTTGGAAGGGACCTTAAAGATCATCTAGTCCCACCCCCCCTGCCATGGGCAGGGACACCTT